GCGGATCTGTCGGCTTGATCTGCACTTCCCCTTTCTGTACACCAGTATTTGGCAAGCTTGGATCAGGTGTCAGTGGTTTTGATATTGTCGGTGTTGACGATAGGGTGGTTGGACCTGGACTTAGTGAGGGGGTAGATCTGGTTCCAAAATGAGGACATACACGCAGTAAGTACTGGCCTCCATTTCAATATACGAGGCACATCAGTTTAGGTATAAATGCAGGAATTGTTACCGTTAAATGTAATATGGTCCTGTTTGGAACTTTGTCAGTTTGTCTTAGTGAAGATAATGTAGAACTGAGGAACCTATACTTTCTGTCTAATACGCAACACATTCTATAAGTTTATATCATGTGATCCCATAAGGATTCGAGTTAGAATTGGACTTCAGCAACCAATGCTTGTTGTAAGAAGCGACTAACGGGATCGGGTGGTCAGGTTCGCTGACTTGGTTGACATACTGATCCAACTAAATTAGCCATCTCACCGTTTTTTGCCTTGAAAAGTTTCGACCAACGTTTTAAATTCGTCCTAATCGATGTCTTTCTGTGGCTTATATCACATATTTGTGACGGATGTCGGCTGTAATGTGTCGGCCATGTAATGTACGTACAACTGACAAGCATGGAGGGTAGACCGGAAGTAGCTATTTATTCGCTCTTAAGCGACATGACAAGGCCGGTTACATCAACACTCATATTAGACATGTCATATTTTATGAGCGCTTCAATACAATACATGACAGAAGGTACACAAGATATTGAATGACCGAGTGCTTCATGTGTGACTTATGTCATTTTCATTTTGGGGTTGGTGGGGTGGGGTGGTAGGCCTATATAACTGATGTTTGCTAGTGCTGTTTGAACTTTTTGACTGTATGTCACGATGTGTCACGTTTGTAAACACATTAAACATTACGATGACACTCTAAGTTCTATTATTTCTGAGAATTTTTTTCTTTACATGTGCTATACCTCATTTGACCGTTTATGAATGACGCCTACTATATTAAAGCGCGACTGTGATCATGACAATAGAAATAGATATATGACAATCCAATGTTAAAGGCGATGTAAGAGTGCGTAAAAACAGATTACTGCACTCGTGCCTGTCAGATACTATTGATCTTACAACTCGTTAGATACGTTTTGAAACAACTCGTAAGATAATGACACTCGTGTTGTAATGTGTCTCATGCATAAGTATATTGCATGTGCATTCGCTGATTACATCATTTGCAACGTATGAGTTAAGATTATATGCAGTCTCTTAGCAAGGAAAGTTATTCGAACACAAACACATGCAAATGCATGGTAAATGAGTTGACCTGAACAAACAAGAAAAAGGAAATTTCAACATAATAACCCCCTATCCAATCCATAACCCTAAAATGTCAGAAAACAGGAGTCTTTTTTTATAAATAACCAGTATCTTTGACGTTTCGACTTTTATTCAGAAATACTCAGCTGCGTAGTCTCTTTTCAACAAGAGACCGGTTTCGAATATCAGTAAGGGCAACCAGGACACGACAACTAATGCACTCACTTACGAACACATGAACTCACGAACTGATGAACCCTGGAACTCACGAACTCATGAAGTCACTCACGAACTCATGAAATCAGTCTTTGTATATTAATTTAGCAAAGGGTAAATGTAGGCCATCGGCCCATGGTGCATACAACATCTGTCCACAAAGTTTTAGGTTTTAGTTGCACATATTATAGTCGGTGCAACACGTTTGCAACAACATGAAATCAGTCACGAACTTACAATCATAAAGCCTGATCATCATATATCCAGTGTCAGAATCATCAGCAACGGTCCACTGCACACATTCAGTACTATCAGCTGTACAAGAAATATTACACCTGGAATGAAACATATTTTAATGTTCTTGATTTCGGTGTCAGCAGTCATGGCCACACTGTTGCTGATCCTTACTACATGTAGGGCTGGGAGTGTAGCCATTGAGAGACACTACTACATCGCTGCCGTTGAAGTCCTCGGGGACTTTGCCCCAAACGGCCGGAAAGGATCTGGTCACCCCTAAAAGGTACCTGATTCTTTAAAAAACATATGACTACATACTGAGAGTCACGTAGAAAAGACACCGTCTTCTTGTTATGTGTTTTCCTTGATATGTCTATGAGAGAAATAGAGTAATACCATATTTATGAAACGAGTGAATGGTTTGGTATCTAACGAGCGAAAGCGAGATAGATACTAATACCATCCACGAGTTTCATAACTATGGTATTACAGGAGACATCGTTTAGTATTTTATTTATTACTCACCCAACATTAGCAAAATAATATCGAGCAAACGAGTGTGATGACTCTCAGCTTTCCGTGGGTCAAGCAAGGTCTAATACAATTGTGACAGAGGTATTAGCATTGTGACGTCATAACTGTAAACCACTTTGACGTCATACGTACGGCATCACGCGATGTTATTACACAATTACTTACACAATGTGTAATAACATTGTAAAATTATTAAACAATGATATCTTCAACGGGTGAGTAATAAGGTTACTTACTTCTCTTAGCGTGCGATGCCCTGTGCAGGTAGGGACAGTGTTTTTACTTCATTTCTTAACTTAATTAAAATATTGAGGTTCCCTAATTAACCTTTATTACCTCATGCTGAATCAGCACAGGCCGTGTATGTTAATGCGAAGTGGATATTGGCTAATGTCAGCGGGTAAATGTGACATGTTTAAATATAGTTTAAAGCTCTTACAGCTATGTTAATTAACTAGAGTTCCTGCGTAGTGTTTGAAGCAAACACGTTGCGTAAAGTGATGCCCTTTTCTATATCCTGAAAATAGTTGCTATATTATATGTGTTCGGTCTTGCCCGGGCTCCCCAAAAGCACCTTAAACCTCACATGTATCCAGCATTGTATTTATATCTATAGAACGGCATTGCATCTGCCTATCAATTTGTATTGTTACAAAATGCCACATGTAAAGATGATTGTTCCGTTAAAATGAAGCCCTTTTCCCTCTCCATTCCCAACATACAATCAATCAAAAGTGGCTAGCCTCTGAAATACCCCCATTTCCCCTTGCGAGATGTTGATTTGTTCTTAAAACCATATCTTCTTCTTTCCTGTCCCAACTGACAGCTGCTTTATCTGCCACCACTAAGCAGTCGGTGAAGGAAAGATACTTGCAACACAGAAGGTAGCAACATTCTCAAAATGTGTTGCATCAGTGACAAATGTAACACCATACCTCTCTTTTGTAAGACGTTTTCGTAGTTTAATTTTCATTGATAGATATAAAGGTTCCCTTGTGGTCAGATATGTTTCTTTCAAAGTCAATCACACCATAATTACTGACATTTACATCATCACTTACTATAAAGGGGTCCAACAGAGTGCTAGTTGTTGCGGTTACTCTAGTAGGGTCTTTAATTACATTCTTAATTGCTTTCGTTCAAAGATATTCTTCAACTGACAACTCTTACCTGCTAACAAATTTTCATTCAAATCGCCAACTATTGTTATCTTGTGGGATATGTCCAATGCTCTCTCAATACTTGCATCTAGGCAAGTCCAAAATTGAGTTGTGCTCTGGGCTATAAACTGTACACAGTATAAGTGTCTTTTGTGGAAGAAATATCTTTAACCAAATTGATTCGTCATATACATTTTCCAGATGGATAATTCTTTTGAAAGTTAATTTCTTGGTCACATAAACCATTACTCCACCTCCAAAACAATTTCTGTCTTTACGAATTGGTAAATGATAGTTGTTCCACTCAAGATTATCATCATTAACGTTTTGATCCAAATGTGTTTCAGTAAAACATATGACATCAAAATCTGACAAATACTCTTTTAAATATTTCTGCGTATTTCTAACACTTCTAGTGTTTAACTGAAAAATGGAAATACTGGAGTCACAACTATTGCTATTTTCTTCTAAATGTGGCCCTGGGTTTGTCTCAACATCACCGGCAAGCTGAAGTAACAATTAGATAGCAAGCATAGCGTTGTGATTACCTACGTAAGCTTGAAGAAAACAAAGAAACAAGCTTACCTTACATGCAATCAGGGAAACTGACAATATATGAGACATGAGCTTTCCTTCATTCAGCAGCTCGGCCATTACATAATGAAAACTAAATGAAAGTGCTGTAGTAGATTTTTTCATGAATCCTTTTGTGTAAAATTTACAATGAAAAACCCCAATCGCTACACGATATTGACAAAGGTCGTTACGCATGTGGAAGTTTTACAACGCAAATAAAGATGCAACGCATGAAAAGCGAAGGGGTAGTTTCAACATGATGTGATTTGATGGAGAATTTTCATATATTGTGATGCGAAAGCATATATAGATGCAACGCATGAAAAGCGAAGGGGTAGTTTCAACATGATGTGATTTGATGGATTTGATGGAGAATTTTCATATATTGCGATGCGAAAGCAAATAAAGATGCAACGCATGAAAAGCGAAGGGGTAGTTTAAACATGATGTGATTTGGTGGAGAATTTTCATATATTGCGATGTGAAAGCGATGTGTATTGCAATATATTGGAAGAAGTTTTTTAAAACAAAAAACTACTTCTAATGGAGTTAATGCTTGACTTATAAGGCAAAAAAAAAAAAAACCACTATGCCTGATTACGCTTTAATTAAAACATTTAATCATGACAAAATAAATAATATTTGTCCCAAATGAAACAAGGACAAGAACAATTTAGCATCAAGACAGTGGTTACTAGTTTGAACTACAGTAGAACACGGATATAACGAACTCCAAGGGACCAAGAAATTTAGTTCGCTATATCCGTTGTTCGTTATTCACATTTGACCGCCATCTTGGATTGTAGAGATGTAGAGACATGTATATGCTGAGGCTACAAATCTTTATTCTTGTACATGTACATTGACATAACATTAAAATTCTGAATTTATGATTCACAGACATTAGCTAGAACACGTTTAACAATCACAACAATCTCAACAATACATGTATTATAACTTAATTAAGTTTAACAAAGTCCACAATTTTGCTCTGCACACCACGTCTTGCAGACTTTATTTTGTCAACTGCATTACAGACATCTGCAAGAGAGTCGAAGATAGAACTATCTGTACCTTCACAAACAAGTAGATGACGTAGTGTCTCTAATGCTGCATTGGCCTCCGCAAAGGATGGCTTCGGGCAAGGTTCATCATCTTCACTATCAGAGTTGGGAGCGGATGTGACAGTGGGCGTGGCAAACTGCTGGGCTACTGACGTCACAATCTCGTCTTCAGTAGGGCGTTCGGCTGTAACAACTTGATTGTCAGCATTGATGAAGTCGTCCAACGTGACATCTGCCGGGATTTCTTCTGCTTTATCTGACAGTTCATTCCACATAACTCTGAGGTCGGAAAGAACCATGTTGTCTGTCTCATCGTCTGACGAATCTTCATCTCGCTCAGGAAGGACAAAGCCTCCCTTCCGATAGCAGTTGGCGATCGTCTTAGATGCGACCTGTCTCCAAGCGGCATGAATCATCTGGATGGCATCAAAGAGAGTGATTTGATGTTCTTTCTTCTGATCATAGGCAGTCAGCATTTTCCTCATTACCTGGCCCTTGTACAGTTGTTTCAGGTTTGCTATTATACCCTGGTCCATGGGTTGAATCTTACACGTAGTGTTCGGTGGAAGGAAGACAAGTTTGACGTGTGTCAGGTGTTTCACAACAGGATGGGCAGGACAATTGTCTACAAACATCAGGATCTTACGTTTTTGTCTTGTCATACTCTTTTCCAGGTTTTTGATCCACTCTGTGAATAATTCACCAGTCATCCAGGCCTTGGCTATTGATCTGTACGTTACTGGCAAACTGCGTACATTTTTTAAGCATCTAGGTTTTCTGACTTCCCTATGACTAACAACTTAAGTTTTTCACTCCCGGACATGTTTGCCGCTACCAACAATGTTATTATCTCTTTAGAATTTTTCCCCCCACTACATTTTTCAGATTTAAAGTGAAGAGTTCTGTTTGGTTTCATTTTGTAGAAGAGGCCAGTTTCGTCAGCATTGAAAATGTTATCAGGCTTGTACTCTTCAAAATAGCCAGGCAGGTTTCAGCCAATCATTGACGAGGTCGGGGTCAACAGATGCACTTTACCCGTGACGTGATTTACATACGATGCCACGCCTCTGTTTGAATCTGTCAATCCAAGCACTACTGCAATTAAAATCTAAATGACCTAACTTAGATGCCAATTCATTTGCCTTAGTCTGCAACATGGGACCATTTAAGGGAATGTTCTCACTTCTAGCCCCTTGAAACCATTTGTAGAGAGCATCTTCTACATCTTGGTGATTGGCAGCTCTTAACTTTTTGCGGGCGGGGCCAAAATCAAGCGATGTTTGTCTTAGATTTTACACCTGAATCTACAGCCTGAATTATCTGAAGCTTGGTGTCAAAAGTGATAGCTTTACGTTTGCCTGCCATAGTGTCGAGAGTGAACGAAGACCTGTATACCAGTCAAGCTTTTAAACACGACATGTTTGTTTTGTTAATTAAGTAATGACCATCAAACAATGTTGATTCGCTGCCAACAAGGTTGATGTATACCGCTAAGTGGCTGAGCTGACACTGAGTGTACTTTCTCCACTCTCAAAAAAACCCAGCAACTTGACCTGGTCAGGACATATCAGAGTAGACCAGGCCATTCATTAATTAGGGATGACCAGCATGGCCCAATTAATTAGTGTGCTACTTTTTTCTGCATTTTGGGAGGTCTGCGTTATGGGAGTAAACCGTATGTTAACTGAGGAATATCTATAAAAAAACATCTTCTATTTCGCACTGGATTCGAATACATTGGAATTATATGAAGAAGTTTAAAGTCAACTTCATGGATGATTTGATATTATTCATTAATGGTCAAGTAGCTTTTGCCTTTGACTGATTCACCCCAGAGCTAGAAATAATAGCAGCCTCTATGGGCAGCATTTTTATTTTCTGTGTTTCTCATTGCCCGACCGACTCTTCTAATGTTATTGTCAACCTGCCACAAGTCCAAAGAACGCGACAAATTGTAATAATTAAAATAAATGAGAATCAAGAATATTATTCAGATAATTTTGTCTTTATTTAGGGATTTCTGTTGTTGTTTTTTCCCGACCGAACGACCAATGTTCAGAATTTGGTGGCTACGTGAAACAAAATAAAAAAATGATGCCCTATTGGAAAATTAAAGGATGGCAATTCCGACAAGATCTGTTAATATCAACTTCGGGGCTAGCGACGATCTGAAAAATGTGGCTGTGTGTTTTCGGGGTGGTGGGGTAACCTGGGGGTTACGTTCGATCGTCACGCGGAAGACCCGGGTTCGATTCCCCATATGGATACAATGTGTGAAACCTATTTCTGGTGTGTCCCTGTCGTGATGTTGATGGAATACTAGTATTGCTAAAAGCAGCGTGAAACTAAACTCACTACGATCTTGCAACCATTCATTCACCCAAAGAGTCTCCCAATTGCTATTTTGCGATTGCGAAAGGAGTCTCAAAATGGAATGGCTTTCACACATGGTGATGCTATCCCACACTATAACCGATCAGCTCCCAAATCTGTCATTAGCTTGACATGAGGTTCATTTCAACGAAAGACAAAGTGAATCTAGACTCATCTGAAAATATCACAAGTGACAAGTGACGATGTAATGTACACTATGGGCGTGTATATTTATATATATTTGTTTATAATCCATTTCTATATCGCCGAGTTTCAGTCGCAGGCGCTTTTGCTTTTCCCCTCGATCATTGGATGTCGATTTCAAAGGCACATCGCACTATCAATATCAACTACCTGGGAACCATACAACTCTTGCTGTCACTAGACGCACCATGTTTATATGTCTTTCCAATCCATACGAGGTACCTATTTACAGCTGAGTGAGCTGGGACACATAGTCACAGTACTTTGTCCATGTTTACTGCACGTAATACGAAAGCCTAATGCTGCCACTTTTGTAGCACAAATATTTTTTTCTGCTACAATTCTTGTTGCTTCGATTATTTACTCGTTACTTCGAGTATTTTCTCGTTATTTAAATAATTTTCTCGTTACTTCGAGTTTTTTCTCGTTGCTTCGAGTATTTTCTCGTTACTTCAAGTATCTTTCCAAACTTGAAATTTCGAGTATTTACTCGTTGCTTCGAGTATTTTCTCGTTACTTCAATTATTTTTTCGTTGCTTCGATTAACTTCTCGTTGGGATTACCTAAAGCTCGGGCCAAAAAAGTCGAGCCGGGCCGGGGCACCGGGTACTACTAAAAATGGATTGCAGAATATTAAAACGAAACCTACACATTTGGGGAGAAATACTTCCTGCCATCACAAATGTATAGTTTGATTGAAAATGTATGTTTAACGATGAAATAAAAAGAAAACTATGACTACATACTGAGAGTCACGTAGAAAAGACACCGTCTTCTTGTTATGTGTTTTCCTTGACATGTCTATGAGAGAAATAGAGTAATACCATATTTATGAAACGAGTGAATGGTTTGGTATCTAACGAGCGAAAGCGAGATAGATACTAATACCATCCACGAGTTTCATAACTATGGTATTACAGGGGACATCGTTTAGTACTTTATTTATTACTCACCCAACATTAGCAAAATAATATCGAGCAAACGAGTGTGATGACTCTCAGCTTTCCGTGGGTCAAGCAAGGTCTAATACAATTGTGACAGAGGTATTAGCATTGTGACGTCATAACTGTAAACCACTTTGACGTCATACGTACGGCATCACGCGATGTTATTACACAATTACTTACACAATGTGTAATAACATTGTAAAATTATTAAACAATGATATCTTCAACGGGTGAGTAATAAGGTTACTTACTTCTCTTAGCGTGCGATGCCCTGTGCAGGTAGGGACAGTGTTTTACTTCATTTCTTTACTTAATTAAAATATTGAGGTTCCCTAATTAACCTTTATTACCTCATGCTGAATCAGCACAGGCCGTTTATGTTAATGCGAAGTGGATATTGGCTAATGTCAGCGGGTAAATGTGACATGTTTAAATATAGTTTAAAGCTCTTACAGCTATGTTAATTAACTAAAGTTCCCGCGTAGTGTTTGAAGCAAACACGTTGCGTAAAGTGATGCCCTTTTCTATATCCTGAAAATAGTTGCTATATTATATGTGTTCGGTCTTGCCCGGGCTCCCCAAAAGCACCTTAAACCTCACACATGTATCGAGCATTGTATTTATATCTATAGAATGGCATTGCATCTGCCTATCAATTTGTATTGTTACAAAATGCCACATGTAAAGATGATTGTTCCGTTAAAATGAAGCCCTTTTCCCTCTCCATTCCCAAAATACAATCAATCAAAAGTGGCTAGTCTCTGAAATACCCCCATTTCCCCTTGCGAGATGTTGATTTGTTCTTAAAACCATATCTTCTTCTTTCCTGTCCCAACTGACAGCTGCTTTATCTGCCACCACTAAGCAGTCGGTGAAGGAAAGATACTTGCAACACAGAAGGTAGCAACATTCTCAAAATGTGTTGCATCAGTGACAAATGGTACACGTTGTGCAGTTCCCTATTTAGACTTGTACCATACGTTCCCTAATCGTTTCGAGGTGAACATTTCCCTAGGATGTCCATATGGTGGGACAGGATATGCATACCTTTTCCAGAACACCTGGTATCTAGTGATTCATAAACATATGCTCTGTCATTTTGTCCACCAATGGATTGTCTGGTCTAGACTCAATATTTACAGTCATATGGCAGGCATATTGCTGAAAGAGGCGTTAAACAACAAACAAAACCACACACTTGAAACAAACAAAAACAAACACACAAAAAAACATCAACACCCAAAACAAATGCTCATAATAAACAATGTAGTCGGAACGTTTACTATCGACTCTGCTTTTCTAAGAGATTTCTTATGGATATGCACCGGCTTTGTCGCTATTATTTCATGTGGTTCGTTTGCGTGGGCAATTTCTTTTCTTTCATTACTTTTAAAAACTGACGCAACGGACGAACTAGGTGCATCCATACTACATGTATATGTTGACAATCATACGGAGTGTTAATGATACATAGTACTATGATTCAACAATAACAATAACACAACAATACTACCTTATATTAGGCAGGTTGTTCGCCTGTGTTTCTGGCATACTTTTTAAATGGTAACATTCGATGGGTATCAGTTTGATATTTGCCATGGAACGCTACAGACCAAACAAATATGAGAACAGGGATTCATATGACTGTGGTCCGATGACTTGTGACATGTTGAGAATGAGGCTAAGGGCCCCGCTTTGAGCAACGTGATCGTTCAAATTACTTCAATCTGAGACTTCATAAAGAGGTTTTAGGTAGATATAACTAGATATATGTACAATTCAGGATACATGTGTGATGTTTAAGTTGTTTTTGATGGCTTAACACTTTTGATAGAGGCTGGATATGTTGGGAATGGAGAGGGCAACGGGCTTCACTTTAACGGACCAGTTATCTTTACATGTGGCATTTTGTAACATTGAAAATGATATTTAGGTAGATATAATACAAATCTATGGATTTAAACAAAATTCAAGATACATGTGTGAGATCTATGCTGCTTTTGACTGCCCGGGCCAAACAGAACCGAACAATTGTCAAAGTGTGGGGAAAAGATCGTTTCATTTACCTGTGGGCATGCTTTAAATACGATGAACAGTGAACTTCTGAGGTAGCATTTGTAAAAAAACCTTTCCGGGCCGACAGAAATGTATATTGGGATTGACTGAAGTATTTATACGTATTGAAT